TCGACAAATCGATGACGCTTGATTAATGACGAACAGTTGCCCGTACAGTTTCACGGTTCGTGGACCGTGTATTCACCGGTTCCGTGATCTTTGAACGGAAGAGAGGAACCGGAAGTCATCGTAAATCAAGTGTTATCCGTACGCCGACAAATATCACCAGACGGATCGATGATAGATCATCGGTGAATTGGCATATAGACGCTTTTGTGGCCGATTAATCGATAATTTTGACTGTCTTTCGATGGATTGGCACGAATAGGAACGAGATCGATCGGCCGACTTACGTGGAAAAGGGAATCCATAAACGATTTCCCAAAGGGGCCAAAGCTATCGCTTTTCTCATATTTTCAGTTGCTTCTTCTTGGAAATTTATTTTCCACTCTTTTTTCTCTTCCTCTTCTTTTTATTCATCTATGCTTCGTTCGTTACTTTTTACTTTTCTTATCGATTCATCCCGGAAGGGGAGAAAATTCGAATTCTCTATTTCTATTATTCGTTGGTAATTTTTTAAAACAATCGAGTAACAGGTAAACGATTTATCAGAAATTCGATCGGATGATCGAAAGAAAAAAAAGAAAAAAAAAAAAAAGATTAAGAATGAAAGGGGGAAATGGATTGATTGGGTTAAAGTGAAAAAGGAGGAAATAAAATTGCTCGTTGGCCATCGAAACCGGGCTGAGAAATGGCGACGAAATGGCGAACAGCATGATGGGATCTGGTGATTTCTCGCAGAGGGGTGTGCAAGGTGGTTGTTGCCGTCCGGGACGACTGGTGGACGTCGAGGGAGATCCTCTAGGAGTGACAGGACCTCTCCTGCCAAGGGATAACCAGGAATATAGATCACCCAGCGAGGACAGCGGTCTCGGGGCCGACATGCCCAGGACCAGGTCGAGAAGGCTCTAATAAAACGAGAATCTTTTCCCATTTCTCACTCATACTCTTGAGGCTCTCTTGATTTTCTTGAAGACAACTTGTATATATTCTATCCATTTTTTTTTCCCCTTTCTTATCTCTTATGTCTGTTGACAAAAATTGTTGACATCGTTTGCAACGGATTTTCTATCAATAAAATTATAATCTCAGAGTTTTGAAATCGATAACAATTGGATTTGGAAAACTTTGGAAATGCGAGGATAAGAAGAAATTTTTCTTCGATTTTATTTTAAAAAAGAATATTGGATTTGGATATCGACATAAGAGTTATAAGTAAAAAATATAAAGAAATTTTTTGGAAATTCTTTCAGTCAGAGAAGATACACTTACGAAGAAATTTGCCGTACGATCGTGATATTTAATTTGCATTGCGAGTTCAAGAAAATCCAAGTCGAGCGTTCAAGTTTGCCATTCAGAGTAAAGTTTGCAGTTACACTTGAGACGTAACTGAGTTACATCGAGTGGCTTTAAGGACACCACTGTCGCTTGATTGGTTCGAATCGTTTCGTTGCGTACACGTTGCGGACCGATTTCTCGAATGCCCGATTATTTCCTTTTCTTACGGTAATTCCGATCAATTTTTCAAATTGCTCCCCGAAATATATTTAAAATATTTATTTTTCGAAGAAAGAAAGAAAGAAAATTCATTCCAAACAGAAAAGAAACGTATTTCAAAAATAATTCTGTCGAAAGATATTTTATTCCGAACTTACAGGATCCTCTTCCCTTATCACTCTTACTTTCTACCCTTAACTTAGAGGAAAATTTTAGAATCTTCTAATTTCTCACTCGTCATCAAATCAAAACCATCTTTATCGACTTTCAAGAAACCGATCGATTCGCATTATCAAATTCTTCTTCCTATTCTTCGTTAAAAAAAAATTCTAACCTCCAAAAATTTCCCTTCCTCGATAACAAACGTTCTCAACAACATCCACGCGCGTACGCATTCCCTTAACGGATTAATCCCCAATGCCAATCGTCCCAAGAATCCAGCTCCCAAACAAAGGAGCGAAAATCGAGAGGACAGAGACAAAGAAAGAAAAAGAAAGAGAGAGAGAGAGAGAGAGAGAGAGAGAGAAGGAAAGAAAAGAAAGAAGGAGAAAAGATTCAGGATTCCCAGTAAGCAGGGATAGCTGTAATGGCGTTTCTATGTCGGATACACGAGGTACATCGATATTTCATTTCCTACCAGGCTCGATCTGGCTTTAGCGTCTATCTCCCGCATTTGACCGGCCACCCCCTTCGACGCCACCTGGTTGGCAGCAGGTATGTACACGGATAAGCAGACACACGGCGGGGGTGGCAGGGGGGACGAGGCAAATAGCGGCCCGGTACTCGTGTACCCTGTGTGTACTCGCTCGCGTGGGTGGACTCGCGTGCAATAGGGGATGGCGTATCGACGGTCAACTCACTGGTGGATCGTTCGATTGATTCGCCTGGATTTTTTTTTTTTTTTCACGTACGGTCAAGGGAGCGCGTCGTAAAGTGTAGATCGATGAGGCGGGATAGAGATGGTGTTGCTTCTTCTGAAGGGGCGAAAAGAGAGGAGAGAGGGCAGTTTTTATGCTTGGAAAGCGTGAAAGAGGTAGGATTAATCCGATTTCGAAGGTGAAAATATTTACCAAAGGGTTTTTCCATCGAGTTCTTTTTTCTTTTTTTTTTTTTTTTGAGGATG